ATCCCTGAAAGGACTGATACTTGTCAGCTAAAAACATTTTCAGTCATGGAAACAACAGGCTTGCATGGAAGCAAGAACTGGACAACACACACCACAGGGTCCACCACTTCATTCTAGTGGCTTGTCATGTTGCTCAGAATAAAATCTAAAACCCATGTCATTTCTCACTGTTCTTCTCTCCTAAAGCCACATTATTCAGCCTGCTTTTCTTTGTACTTCCCCATCTCCCACCTCTGACAAGTGTACTCAGTTCAGCTATTGCTGACCCTTCTGCTTAGAAATTATTTTCCCCAGATAGCTACAGGGCCAGTTCTTCAACTTTATTCAAGTCTCTGCTCAAAGTTCACTTTATCAACTTCCCTCATCAATCTATAGCAAATAGCACACTGCCTTTTCACGTTGTTCCTTTATTTCATTTATTTATTATTCTTCCAGTGTTTGTCACGGTCTAACATGAATAGTGAATCCTTGTGGGTAGCTGTAGTATGTACTGCTAACTGCAAGGTCAGTGGTTCAAACCCACCAGGTGTTCCTTGGAAACTCCATACAGGGTCACTATGAATTGGAACCAACTGGACAGCACTTAACAGCTACAACAACATGAATATACCTTTACTTATTTCTTATCTGGCAGTCACCTCTCCAAACTTGGATATATAACCAAAGCCCAAACAGTCATCAAATAGAATTCAGATTCATAACAACTCTATAGTGCAGAGTAGAGCTGCCCCCATAGGGTTGCTATGGTTGTAAATCTTTATGGAAGCAGACTGTTACATCCTTCACTTACAAAGTAGGATGGTTGGTTCAAACTACTGACATTTTGCTTATCCGCCTAGTTCTTAATTACTGCACTACCAGGCTCTACCTTGAATATAATAAGCTCCTTAAATAGGAAAATTTTGCTATCCTTCATACTCTATCCTATGTACGTTTACAGTACCCTGGACATACTAGGCATTTAATAATACTCATAGGGGTTAACTACTAATATTTTCATTGGCAAAGAACAAGATTCCAGGAATTGATAGAACACAAACTGAAATCTTTCAACAAACTAGTGCATCACTGGAGACACTCATCTCTGCCAAGAAATTTGGAAGACGGCTACCTAGCCAACTGATTGGAAGAGATCCATATCTGTGACCATTCCAAACAGAGGTGGCCTAAGTTAATGTGAATACCATTGGACAATATCACTAACATTGCATGCAAGGGAAGTTTTGCTAAAGGTAAATAAAAAATAGCTGCAGGAGTACAGTGACAGAGAACTCTCAGAGGTTCAAACCAGATTCAAATGAAGACATGGAACAAGAGATATCACTGCTGATATCTGGTGGATCTTGTCTGAAAGCAGAGGACACCAGAAATATGTTTACCTGTGCTTTATTGATCACACAAAAACTTTTGACTGTGTGGATCATGACAAGCTATGGTTAATGTTGTGAAGAATGGATATTTTAGAACACTTTATTGTGCTAATAAGGAATCTGTACATAGACCAAGAGGCAGTCATTCAAACAGAACAAATGGATACTGAATGGTTTAAAATCAGGAAAGGTGTGCACCAGAGTTGTATTCTTTCACCATACTTATTCAATCTGTATGTTAAGCAAGTAATGTCATAAATTGGATTATATGAAGAAGAATGTGGCATCAATATTGGAGGAAGATTCATTAACAACCTGTGATATGTAAATGATACAACCTTGCTTGCTGAAAACTAAGAAGACATACAATACTTACTGATGAAGATCAAAGACCACAACCTTCTATATGGGTTGCACTTCATTGTAAAGAAAGCAAAAATCCTCATCATGGACCAATAAATAAGACCAAGATAAATGGAGACGAGATTGAATTTGTCAAAGACTTCATTTTGTTCAGACTAACCATCAACATTCATAGAAGCAGCAGTCAAGAAATCCAAGAACATATTGCATTAGGCAAATCAGCTCCCCAAGATCTCTTTAAGGTGTTCAAGAGCCAAGATGTCAGTGTGAGGACCAAGATGCAGCTGATCTAAGCCATGATATTTTCAATAGCCTCATATGCAAGGGAAAGTTGGGTAATGAATTAAAAAGACCATAGAAGAATTGATGCATCTAAGTTATGGTGCTGGAGGAGAATATTAAAAGTACCATTGACTGCCAAAAGAACAAACAAATCAGTGTTGGAAGAAGTACAGTCAGAGTGCTTCTTAGAAGCCAGGATTGGCAGCCTTCATCTTTCAGACTTATGACATATTATCAGGAGGGACCTGATGTAGAAAGACATCATGCTTGGTAAAGTGTAGGGGCAGTGATGAGTTGGCATAGAGGCAGCAACAATGGGCTCAAGTGTAGCAATGATTGTGAGGTTGGCACAGGTCTGGAAAGAATTTTGTTCTGTTGTGTATAAGGTCACTATAAGTTGGTAATGACTTGATGGCACCTGACAATAACAATGGGAAAAGACCTACTTAAAAGAATATTATTATTTCCTTTGCTACACAGAAAATCCTTTAGTAAATAGAACTATCATTCTTTATCTGTTTTGTAAATTTGGATGTTTACACACTTGATTATCTCTAGTTCTCGGTAAGGAAAGGTAAGGAAAGGCTTGCTGCAATGCTTATGAATAAAGTGTATAATTACTGCATAGAGGCCTCTTCAGTAGCTATATTGTTCTTGTTAAGTGCTGTTGAGTCACTTCCAATTCATTCTGATCCTGTATAGAGTTTCCAAGGAGCAGTTGATGGGTTTGAATTGCTAATCTTGTGGTTCACAGTCCAGTGCTGATCCCACAGTGCCACACCAGAAGTCCACTAGTTGTTGTTGTTGTTGAGTGCCTTTGGGTCAGTTTTGGCTCATAGCGAGCCTGTATAGAGTTTTCAAGGAGTGGCTGGTGACTTTGAACACCGTAGGAGGGAAATCAGAGTCCCTAAATTTTAAGCGCTTGTCTATCTGCATTCGTAAGCATAAAATTAAAAAGAAGAAATCAATTACCTTTCAGATTTTATTTAAATTTAAACAAATATAAACGACAGTTTTATATAAGCAGTGCTTCTTGGCAATAACTGCAGAATGAGAAAATGTGAAACAATTAGAAAGGAGAAGCAACTTTTAACTTCTTCATAATTTCAGGCAGAGCACCTGCCCTTCTGGTGAGGTAATCCCCTAAAGGAACTGATAGCTAGGTAATCCCCTAAAGGAATTGATAGCTATCAGCACTTTTCCCAGGTGGAGACAATAGGCCTGCACTGAAGAGTGAACTGGGCAACACACTTCACAGTGTTCACCGAATCAATATATTGTTGCTATTATTAAGTGCTGTCCAGTCGATTCCGACCCATAGCCACCCTGTATAGGGTTTCCAAGGAGCAGCTGGCAAGCTTGAACCACCGACATTGCAGTTCAAACGACTGCAGTCTGACGCATTAGCCCACAGTGCCACAAGTGGATTCCTATTTCGCTCCAAATAAAATCCAAAATTCATATAATTTCTCTCTGTCCTCATCTCTTA